CACTTGAGCTATAGCACCACTTCCGGTTTTCTGGTGGTTTATTGGAGGTAAGAGTTTCATGGACTTTCTTGCCCGGGCTGATTTTGAACCTCAATCCTCAGATCTCAGCCTCCTGAGTAGCTAGGATTACAAGTGTGAGCCACTGGCACCCAGCTGCCTATGAGATTCTTATTTCAAATTAACTACCAAAAAATGCTGAAGTGGCACTGTGGCTCAAGTGGTAGAGCTCTAGCTTTGAGCACAAAAGCTCAGAGACAGCACCCAGGCTGGAGGTCAAATTCCAAGACTGGTACAAAAAAAAAGAAAAAAGAAACTGTGAGTTAGGTGCTGATGTCTCAAGCCTGTAACCTTAGCTACTCAGCAGGCAGGCAGAGATCTAGAGATTCATGGTTTAAGAATGCCCAGGGGCTGGGAATGTGACTTAGTGGTAGAGTGCCTGCATAGCATGCATGAAGCCCTGGGTTCAATTCCTCAGTCCCCTATAAACAGAAAAAGCCGGAAGTGGTGCTATGGCTCAAGTGCTAGCCTTGAGCAAAAGAAGCTCAGGGACAGTGCACAGGCCCTGAGTTCTAGCCCCAGGACTGGCAGAAAAAAAAAAAAGACCAGGCAGAAAAGTCTGCAAAATATTGTTTCTAGAACCATCAGCAGACAGCAGGGCTGGAGGCATAGTTCAAATGGTTGAAGGATAAGACCCTTGTGCAGGAAGAGACACAAATTGACTTTTGCTTCAACATTTGGTGATACAATTCTGAAGGCTAACCCAGTCCCTTTCATATGCATGTTGCAACTGGCAAGCTCAACCACCATTTTGTGACATTCCCAAAAGAGATCAAGGCAACACAGATCCAGTCAGGAGGAAATAGTAAGATCATATACAAATAGTATTGCAAAAACCAACTCCCAGAAGACCAGGAGCCGAATTGTTAATAGTCTAAGAGATCAAGACAACACAGTGAAGGTGAACTGGAAGCCAAGCATGATGGCTTAAGCCTGTAATCCTAGTTATGTGTGCCAGTCCTGGGGCTTGAACTCAGGCCTGGGCACTGTAAGCTTCTTTTGCTCAAGGCTAGCACTCTACCACTTGAGCCACAGCACTACTCCTGGCCTTTTCTGTTTATGTGGTACTGAGGAATTGAACCCAGGGCTTCATACGTGCTAGGCAAGCACTCTACCACTAAGCCACATTCCTAGCACAAGATCAAGATTTGAAGAAAAGTCTGTGAGACTTTTTTTTTTGAGTCAATCAAGGGCTTGGACTCTGGGCCTGAATGCCACTTCCGGTTCCCTGAGTGGTTTATTGTGGTTTATTGGAGATAAGAGTCTCATGGACTTTCCTGCCCAGGCTGACTTTGAACTGTGATCCTCAGATCTCAGCCTCCTCAGTAGCTAGGATTACAGGCGTGAGCCACCAGTGCCTGGCTTGTGAGACTCTTGTCTCCAGTAAACTGTGTTAAAAAAAGAAAAAGCTCAAAGTGGTGTTGTGGCTCAAGTGGTAGAGCACTAGCCTTGAGCTGAAGTATGTCAGGAAAGTCCTCAAGCCCTGTGTTTAAGCCCCAGAACCCACTCAGGCACACATGTACACCCACAGTAGAAAGTTATAGAAAAGTCCTCCCATTCATTCTGTCTTCTATGGAACTCCCACAGAATATCGGTGTCCTTTTTCGTTAGTTCCCGTGTCCTTTTTGGAAAAGGAAGTAAAATATTTACATCTGCAGACTTCTTCACTAAGTGTAACTGTGCAGAGGAAGCCCCGCCCCATGCTGCCATGGCAACCTTGCAGCTAGGGATGTGTTTTCTGAAGGCCAAGGTTGTCTGGGTAAAAGGCTTTGTGATCCAGCCATGGGAGAGGATGACAGCAGACTTAGGAAGAGCCAAATCCAGGCTGTCTATACCCTTTCCTCTCTTCTTTCTCTCTTATCTCCTACAGGAGATGAGGCTGCAGAGAATGAGAATTAACTGGCTCTCCCTTGACTTACATTCCCTCTTAGGATTTCCCTGCTTTGTAGACCTGGGAGCTCCTCATCGGAATCCCAAAGAGACTTTCTATCTTAACAATCTCTGAGTCAGGTCTTGGCCTTGCTTTGTCCACTGTGCTGGCTTTTTTTAGTGGCTTTCCTCTTTCCTGACACCTCCACCATCCAACTGTTTACCATGGCATAGTCTGCAGTGTCTGAATGGTTCCCGAGTGGTTTTGTTTTGGCCACACTGAGGTTTGAACTCAGGGCCTTATGTTAGTTCCATTTGCTTGCTTTGGTGGCACTCTACCACTTGAGTCAGGCCTCCAGCATAGCTTTTTGCTGGCGAGTTTGAAAATGGAGTCACAAAGACTCTTCTGCCTGGGCTGGCTTTGAACTGGGAGCCTCAGAGTCAGCATCCTTTAGGATCTAGGATTACAGGCATGAGCTTCTGGTGTCTGGGAGGTCTTTGAACTTTTAACATTTCTCCAACAGCACTGTGAAAATGCTAACAATCATTATCCTCAAAAGGCTCACAATTGCTAGGCGCTGGTGCCTCAAGCCCTATGATCCCAGCCACACAGGAAGCTGAGATCTGAGGATCAAGGTTTGAAGCCAAATCCAAAGAGATTCTTTTTTTCATTTTGGTCAGTCGTGGGGCTTGAACTCTGGGCCTGGGAGCTGTCCCTCAGCTCTTCAGTTCAAGGCTAGCGTTCTACCACTTGAGCCACAGCACCACTTCCAGCTTTTTCTGCTTATGTGGTGCTGAGGAATTGAACCCAAGGGCTTCATGTGTGCAAGGCAAGCACTCTACCACTAAGCCACCTTCCCAGCCCCCCAAAGAGACTCTTAACCTCCAATTTCCTAGCAGAAAGCCAAAGTGGAAGTATAGCTCAAGGGATATAGTATTGTCAACCTTGAGCAGAAAAGGCAGAGTGCACAAGAGTGCACTGGGTTCAAGACCCAGTATCAGCCCATGTGCATGCACATACATAAAACTGGTCATTTATATCACGAGGATTGAAAATACAGCCTAATATCCTCTTAAATCACTCACCCATTTTCCTTGGCCCAGAACCTTTTGCGACAAGCAGGAAGCTGCAGCTGCCACCTTAGAAGGGTGGTAATGCACCATGTCATAGTCCAGGAGAGTCAGCTCCATCAAGTACTTGGCTAAAGTGTGCTGTTCCACGTCAACCTGGAAGAGACAGGGAAAAGTCCCTGTGGTTATCACTGGGGCAGAATTCTAGGGGAAGGCTGAGGAAGTGGGTTCCGCTTCACTCTCATCCTTCAACAATTGCTCATGTCCACATCAGGCAACAGACCCAGATCCCGTGGCCTTCATTCCTGACACCGCTGAGACGAGCACCAAGACTTTACGAAAGCAAGACATCAGTGGCTCACACCTGTAATCCCAGCTACTCAGGAAGGCTGAGATCTGAGGATCATTGTTCAAAGCCATGCTGGGCAGAAGAAAAGTCTGGGAGACTCCATCTCCAATTAGCCAACATAATGCTGGGCTAGAAGTGTGGCTCAGGTAGTAAGAGTGCCAAGCTGAGCAAGCCAAATGGGCCAACTTGAGATCCCCGAGTTCAAATCCCAGGACTGGCACACACACACACACACACAGTTTCCTGATGCTCTCCCCAGATCAACCAATGCTTCTAGATACTACACCAAAATTTAAAAAAATAAAATCTCCTTCAGATCTGAGGTACTTACCTCCCCGGCTTTTGATGCTCGCCTTAAGAAGTGGAGGGGCAAAGGCCGACCCAACTCAAACTTGAGTTCTTTCAAGATGAAGGTCTCCATTTCACGGATCTGGGAGCTGGTGTAAGCGTTGTCTGTGATGTACACAAAATCTTCAATATTTGGAGAAAACATCTCCTCGTATTTGGAAGCCAAGAGCAGAGCTGTAATTCCAACCAGTTGAAGCTTCTTCCGACACACTGGCTGAACCTAAGTGAACACAGACATGTCAAAAAAAGTCACACCTACGATCATGCATATGGCTCACCCCTGTAATCCTAGAGACTCAGGAGGCTGAGATTTGAGGATCATGGTTCCTGGCTTGTTTTTGTTTTTTTTTTTTTTAATTTTTTATTGTAAAGATACTATACAGAGGGTTACAGTTACATGAGTGAGGTAATGAGTACACTTCCTCTTGAACATTGTTAGCCCCTCCATTGTTTTCCCCCTACCATCCCCTCCCTCCCTCCCTTCCCCGAAGTTCTTTTTTTTTTTTTTGATTGTGATTAAGTGATTACATAATTTCTAAGTCACAATCCTGGCTTGTTTTTTAGGTACCTCAGACTTTTATTTTGTACCTGAGACTTTTGTTCTTACTTTAGCTCTTCTTACCAAAAATTACTGTACTTTCCATCTGATAGAGATTCTGCAGTGATAACCCAGAATCTCTGGCTAGCTAGGACTTTGTCATCTCTGAGGGTCATTAGTAGAATAATAGAACTATTATTATATTGTTTGGTCAAATTGGGACTTGACCTACACTCAAATGTTGACTTTAAATAAGTAAATCCTTATCTTCAAGGCTACCATTTGGTAGGTAACACACCAGTAATTTATATCCAGTATCTCTGTGTAACAGTTGATAAAAATGTTCAAGATTACTTTTACATTGCTCTTTATATTCCATCTTTTCAGTCTACCCACACACACATATACTTGCTATTTTTTTTTCTTTTCTCTCTTTTTCTTTTCTTTTTTTGTGAGGGAGGGGAAAGGTAGCACTGTGGTTTAAAATCAGAGCCTCAGACTTCCCAGGCTGGTGCTCTGCCACTTCAGCCATGGCCCCCAGATTTATATTACAAAGAAAACGAGTAAAAACAAACAAAAAACTGTGGGCTGGGAATATGACTTAATACAGTGCTTGCCTAGAATGCATGAAGCCCTGAGTTCAATTTCTCAGCACCACATAAAAAAGTTCAAAAGTGGTGCTGTGGCTCAAGTGGTAGAATGTTAGCCTTGAGCATAAGCAGCTCAGGGACAGTGCCTAGTCCCTGAGTTCAAGCAACAGGACTGGCCATAAACAAACAAACAAATAAATAAATAAATTCTGCCTAGAGAAAAATCATCCCTCGAAAAAATTTCTATGGTGATTTCAAGTCACAACTAGTTAACCAAACATCTCATTTTTTCAGATGAGGCAACCCTAAACAAATACCAAACTTCAGAAATGGTACCAGTAGGGCTGGAGAGCTGGTGTTCAAAGGTACTGCAGGCTGGTTAGCTTGGACGCCATCTGCTGGTTTATTTCATCTGAGGAAGATGGCTATTCAGTACATAGTGAGTACCCAGAATCTCAAACCCCAAAATTTTCTAACATCTCAAACACTGCATGCTTATATAGGATTCGCCCAGTAAGAAATTTCACACTTAACCCCAAGTGACATGTTGAAAGAAAACAATAAGAGCACTGAACATACTACATAAAGTTACCTTCGGATTTGCACACAGGGTGAATATAAATGAATATAGATTTAGACTTGGGCCCCGTTCCCAAACCTGGCCAAATAGCCAAATAAGATAGCCAAATGCCCCAAACTCTGAGGGGAAAAAAAAAGTCTATGCTAGATGCCAGTGACTCATGCCCAGGCTGAGATTTGAAGATCTTGGTTCAGAGCCAGCTTGGGCAGGAAAAGGCTGTGAGATTCTTCCCTGATTTTTTTTGTTTTTGTTATTTAATTGTTCACTTTATATATACATATATATATTTGTTGGTCATGGGGCCTGAACTCTGGGTCTGGGTGCTGTCCCTCAGCTCTTCAGCTCAAGGCTAGCATCTACCACTTGAGCCATAGCTCCACTTCTGACCTTTTTCTGCTTATGTGGTGCTGAGGAATCGAACCCAGGGCCTGAAGCATGCAAGGCAAGCACTCTACCACTGAGCTACCTTCCCAGCTCCAAAGTCTATGAGATTCTTATCTCCAAGTAACCACCAAAATGCTGCATGGAGCTATGGCTCAAGTGCTAGAATGTTAGCCTTGAGCACAAAACAGATCAAGGAAAGCACCCAGTCCCTGGGTTCAAGCCAGGCATAATATTTCTGATAACACTTATTTCAAATATAAGACACTCAGTGTGTATGTTTCTCTCAGTCCTTGTCTTCAACTACTCTGAGCACCTGAAGTTCTCTGGCATCTCAGATATTGACAGTTGAAGCCAGAAGCTGGTGGCTCATACTTCTAATCCTAGCTATTTAGAGGGCTGAGATCTGAGGATCTCAGTTCGAAGCCAGCCTGGACAGGAACGTCCCTGTGAGATTCTTATCCCCAATTAAGCACCAGAAAACTGGAAATAGTGCTGTGGCTCAAAGTGGTAGAGTATGAGTGTTGAGCAAAAGTGCTCAGGGACAATGCCCAGCCCCTGAGTTCAAGCCCCACAACGGGCCAAAAAGAAATAAGAAGCAACAACAACAAAAAAAAGAAATTGGTAGTTGCTTTTCCCTTCAGAGGAACCCCCGGCCCAAGTGCCATGTTCAACCTCAAATCCACACTGACCTGTAGAAACCGGTCCATGATGGCCACACACATGTAGAGCGTTTCCTGCAGCAGCCTGAACTTGGAGTGCACCTGCACCAGCCAGTCCACTAGAATGGCACGCATGCGCCCGTTGATATCTCGGCCATCCAAGAAACGTGGCTTGATGCATTGCAAAACCTGTTGGTGAAGAGTTGAGAAGATGACCAAGCGGCCCCCGCCCCTGTAGTGGCAGGCTGCCGAGGTTCCCTGAGGCTTGTGGAAGGCGGGGCCCAGGCAGACCCACCTCCAGCTGCCGCAGGTACTGGTAGATGTCCTTCACGTAGTCGCTGCACAGCTGAGGGTTCTCCCAGTCTTCGTTGTCAATGTCTTCGATTTTGCAGAGCAAAGCATCCGAAAAAGCTTGGCAGAGGTTCTCCTCCTTCATGGAGACCTCCTCAGGTGGGGGAGAAGACCCCTAAGGGAAAGCACAGGGGATCAATGCGTTCTCTCATAGATCTGAGAGCATCGTAATAGCCCACCGCCATCGCTTCTGTGTTCTGGGCTATTATTTTCTCTCTACCTGGGGGACAGGCTAAAATTATTCCGAAGAACCTCAAATACCAACATGCATCCTCACACAACAGAGGTAGCACTCAGCCAGAGGCTGGTGGCTCACATCTGTAATCCTAGCTACTCAAGAGGCTGAAATCTAAGGATTGCCACTGGAACCCAGACCAGGCAGGAAAGTCCGTGAGACTCATATCACCAATGAATTACCAGAAAAAAAGGAGGGGAGGGAAAAGGAGGAGAGTGGAGGAGAGGGAGGGAAGGGAAAGAACAGGAACAACAGCAGCTAGAGCTCAAGTCATAAGAGTGCTAGCCTTGAGCAAAAACACTCAGGGACAATGTCCAAGTTCTGACTTCGAGCCCAGGACTGGAACTAAAAATAAAAAGGTGTTCAATCAATGAAAGTACTTGACCACTTGGGTTCAGGAATTACTGGAGCTGATTACTTTAGCAGTAGCCTCCTTTGCAAGCATGAGTTTTTCAACTACTTTATTATATATTAAGAAACTAATGGGAATGTGGCTTAGTGGTAGAGTGCTTGCCTAGCATGCATGAAGCCCTAGGTTCAATTTCTCAATACTACATAAACAGAAAAAGCTGGAAATTGCGCTGTGGCTCAAGTGGTAGAGTGCTAGCCTTGAGCAAAAGAAGCTCAGAGATAGTACCCAGGCCTTGAGTTCAAGCCCCAGGACTGGCAAAAAAAAAAAAAAGAAACTAGCAAGCCAGGAACCAGTGGCTCAGCCTGTAATCCTAACTATTCAGGAGGCTGAGATCTGAGCATCATGGTTCAAAGCCAGCCTGGGCAGAAAAGCCCTGAGAGACTGTTACCTCCAATAAACTACACAAAACACCAGAAATGGAACTATGGCTCAAAGTAGTAGAGTGCAGCCCTGAGCAAAAGAGCTGAGGGACAGCCCCCAGGCCCAGAGTTCACAGACAGACAGACAGACAGACAGACAGACACACACACACACACACACGAAGGGAGGAAGGAAAGAAGGGAGAAAAAAAAAAAACAAGTAGCAAGCCAAATGCCAGTGGCTCATGCCTATAAACCTAGCTACTTAGGAGGCCAAGATCTTAGGATCACAGGTCAAAACTAGCTTGAACAGAACAGCACATGAGACTCATCTCTAACTAACCACCAAAGAAAAAAAAAAAAGCCAGAGGCTGGGAAGGTGGCTCAGTAGTAGAGTGCTTGCCTAGCATACATGAGGCCCTGGGTTCGATTCCTCAGCACCACAGAAGAAAAAGCCGGAAGTGGTGCTTTGGCTCTACTGGTAGAGTGCTAGCCTTGAGCCGAAGAGCTAAGGGACAGCGGCCAGGCCCAGAGTTCAAGCCACACAACCAACAACAACAACAAAAAGCCATAAGTGGGGCTGTGGCTAAGTACTAGAGAGGTGTCCTTGAGCAAAATAACACATTCAAACCCCAGGACCGACACAGACAAACACACAGAGACAGACACACACATACATACACAAACAAAACTAGCAACTAAAAAAAGCAAAAAGGTACATTCAAGCCTATGAATAAAATCTGAGGAAATGGCAGACTTAGCAATGGAAAGCCTGGGTCTTTATTTTTCTCAGCTGGCTGGGTTGTAATGAGAAAAAAATCACACACATTAAAATTGTGTAATGTTAGGACACCTATTCAGTAATGAAGTATAAGCTATTGCTTTGAAAAAGGAAAAAGAGGTACTTCTCAAAAATAAAACCTAGCAGGGCACTAGCAGCTCATGCCTGTAATCCTAGCTACTCAGGAGGCTGAGACTGAGGCATGACAGTTTGAAGTCAGCTGGGCAGAAAAGTTTGCTGGACTCCATTTCCAAAATAACCAGTAAAAAAACTGGGCTGCAGACATGGCTCAAGTGATAAACCTTCAGCTAAGCCAGCAAGGTGAGCAAGTAATAGGCCCTGAACTCAAGCCTTGTTAATCAAAAACTAAGGTCAATGATAATTTCCAGTCCTAAAGGGAGATACTGTAACAGTAATCAAAGGCCTTTTAGTGTGTGCTGATACATACTTATTCATTGAGATGGAGTCTCCTTTTTTGCCCACAGCTGCCTCAAACCACTACTCTTCCAAACTCTGCCTTCTAAGTAGCTAAGATTGCAGGATTAAGCCACAAAGCCTGGCCCTTAGATGCATTTTTTTTTTTTCTTTTATAAGTCCTGGGGTTGAACTCAGGGCCTGGGCACTATCCCTGAACTTCTTTTTGCTCACGGCTAGAACTCTACCACTTAAACCACAATGCTACTTCTGGCTTTTTCTAAGAATCAAACCCAGGGCTTCATGCATGCTTGGCAAGCAGTCTACCACTGAGCCACCTTCCCAGCCCTTGATGCATTTGAATAAACACACAGCTTCGGTTTAACTTTTATTTTGGGCAGGACTGGGGTTTGAACCCAGGTCCTTGTGTTTGGATCAGCAGGCTCTCAACCAGTTGAGGCATAATACGCTAGAGCTCTCTTTTGGTTTTCTAAATTTTCTTTCCTATAGGGTTCCACAGTTTGCTAGGGCTAGCCTAGACTGCAACCCTCCTAAACAGACAGACAAACATGTGCCCAGCTTTGTACTGGTTGACAAAGAGGTCTCATGAACTTTTTGGTTAAACTGATCTCAAACCACAATCCTCCCAATCTCAGCCTCCCAAGCCACCTCACCCAGTTTAAGTTTAGCTTCCCTAAGGAAATGCCTTCGGAAACTTGCCCCAGGAAGGCAATCAGTGCCAGGAAGTTTGCTTAAAGGAGTCAAAGTTATCCTGCACTTTGACCGCTGTCTTCAGTCTGGAAGGCTTGTGTACTATTCCAAAATGGAAAGATACAATAAGGATTATTTACCTCTTAGTTTAGAATTGCTTGAAAGCACGCTTTTTGGGCTCCAACATAATTTCATTATTTTAAGATCCTTTCTAAGATCCCACTCACCTGTTTAGACAAGCATCTTAGCCCTGCGGGCTAACTGTACACGCCTGTCCAGGGTAGGCCACATACCTAGGTGGTCAATCATCAAAATTGTTCAATGAAACCACCTGTGGTGGTGCCCACATATAATCCCAGCACTCTGGAGGCTAAAACAGAGGAGGACGGAGAATCCATAGAAAGTCTGGGGCTTCCATTTGTTAAGAAATGAAAGACTTGGAAAAAATTGTATTAAGTGAAGTAAGCCAAGCCCAGAGAAACATAAGCCCCATGGTTTCCCTTATTTGCAATAACTAGTATACATCTAGGACAAGCAGAGCAGGTCAAAAGCTATGTACATATGACCATATAAGATGAGGCTAAGCGAAATGAACCCCAAGAGGTTTTATCTTTGTTGCTGTTGTTTGTAGTGCACTTATAATGTATTGTGTGCTTTTTTTTGTTTGTCTGTTCTTCCCCTATGGTATAACCTGTTGTCACTGTATTTGATTCTGGTGTCCTGCATTTTGTATATACATTTTTCTAAATTGGGGAGGGAAAGGGAAATAATAAAATGTTGAAATAAGGATACAGGTTGACCCATTGTAACAATGAGATGTACAGGACGCTATGTTGAAAACAAACTTTACAGCTTGGTGGGAGGGATTGGGAGGGGTTGGGGAAAGAAGGGATGGTAGAGGAAAAAACAAAGGGGGGGGGGAGTAACAATGTTCGATAGGAAATGTACTCATTACCTTACTCATGTAACTGTAACCCCTTTGTACAGTATCTTTACAATAAAAATATTTTAAAAAATTTAAAGGAAGTCTGGGGCTACATCCTGACACCTTGTCTCAAAAATAACAGCAAGCAAGCAAGCATCAACCAATCCTACAACTTATAAATGAGTCACACACAGAAAGACAAACACTGAATAATCTCCCAGCTTGTGAGAATTTCAATCTCACAGAATTTGTGGGTACAGTGGTGGTCCCAGAAGATGACAAATGGGCACCCCATTATGCTACATAGGATCCAGGTGCTAGGGTGCTCATACACAGCAATGCACAGTACATTTCCAAAAACAAGCTAGGAAAGGATGCTGAGAATACACCAGAAAATACCAAATTTGAACATCATACTATGTATATGCATTTCAAAACCTCATACAACTTCCCTGGATTTTTGGGGGGTTTTTTAGGTCTAAGACTGGGACTCGAACTCGGTACCTAATGCTTTTGCTCATTGGTTCACACTATCATCTGAGCCATGCCTCCAACTCCAACTTCCCCATTAATAAGCACAATTTTCATATACCAGTACATAAAACAAAATGGAGACATGTCACTCTACATCTTCCTTTAAAAATGGAGGGACAAAGGGTGAACAAATGCAGCAGTGGTACTCACTGGACACTGGATAGACAACTTGTGGGTGGGGATGGGAGGGAAAAACTGGGAAGAGAGGGAAGGAGTGACAGTGTGTAAAAAGAAATGTACTCTTGGGGCTGGGAAGGTGGCTCAGTGGTAGAGCACTTGCCTTGCATGCATGAGGCCCTGGGTTCGATTCCTCAGCACCACAGAAGCAGAAAAAAGCCGAAAGTGGCGCTGTGGCTCAAGTGGTAGAGTGCTAGCCTTGAGCTGAAGAGCTGAGGGACAGTGCCCAAGCCCAGAGTTCAGACCCCACGACCGGACCCCCCCCAAAAAAAGAAATGTACTCTTTACAAGACTTATGTAAGTATAACCTGTGTGTACATCACACTTATAATAACAAAAAAATTTAATGTGTGTATATGTCATATATTTTATAGTGAATTTCATATTAAATATTTAATATTAAATCCTGCTAGAATTACAGGCATGAGCCAGCAGTGCCTGGCTTCACTCTTTGTTTTTCTTTGCTGGATGTAGGGCCTGAACTCTGGCCTGAGCACTGTCCCTCAGCTCTTAAACTCAAGGCTAGGGCTCTACCACTTGAGCCACAGCGCCACTTCCAGCTTTTTCTGTTTATGTAGTGCTGAGGAACTGAACCCAGGGCCTCATGCATGCAAGGCAAACACTCTACCACTGAACCACCTTCCCAGCCCCTTCACTCTCTTTTTTTTGGTCGGTCATGGGGCTTGAACTCTGGGCCTGGGCGCTGTCCCTCAGCTCTTCAGCTCAAGGCTAGCGCTCTACCACTTGAGCCACAGCACCACTTTCGGCTTTTTTTTTTCTTGCTTATGTGGTGCTGAGGAATCGAACCCAGGGCCTCATGCATGCAAGGCAAGTGCTCTACCACTGAGCCATCTTCCCAGCCCCCTTCACTCTCTTTTCATAGTTGTTTGATTCTTGATGATCAAAGTAACCAGAAACAGTAGTACAGGTTTATAATACTTACATTTAGGCTGGGAATGCAGCTCAGTGGTAGAATGCTTGCCTAGCATGCATGAAGCCCTGGGTTTAATTCCTCAGTACCACATACACAGAAAAGGCCAGAAGTGGTGCTGTAGCTCAAGTGGCACAGTACTAGCTTTGAATACAAAAGTTCAGGGATAGTCAGGCCCTGGGGGCTCATGCCTGTAATCCTAGCTACTTAGGAGGCTGAGATGTGAGGATTGTAATTCAAAGCCAGCCGGGGCAGGAAAGTCCATGAGACCCATCTCCAATAAACCAACAGAAAACCAGAAGTGGTGCTGTAGATCAAATGGTAGTGAGCTGAAGAGCTCAGGGACAGTGTCCAGGCCCAGAGTTCAAGCCTTATCATCATCACCACCACCACCACCACCAACAACAACAACAAAAAGTTCAGGGACATCACTCAGGGCCTGGGTTGAAGCCCTAGGACCAGCATGGAAAAAAAAAAAGAAAGAAAACCAGTCAAAGAAATTATAAATAACAGAACTCTAGCATTAGCCAGGCATCAATGGCTCATACCCATAATCCTTGCAACTAAGCAAGCAGAGACCTAAGAACGATGCTTTGGAGCCAGCCCGGACAGACAAATCCCAGACACTCTTACCTACAAATAACCATTAAAAAGCTGGAAGTGGAGTGCTAGGAAGGTGGCTCAGTGGTAGAGTGCTTGCCTCGAATGCATGAGGCCCAGAGTTCGATAACTCGGCACCACATAAGCAGAAAAAGCCGGAAGTGGCACTGTGGCTTAAGTCATAGAGTGCTAGCCTTGACTGAAGAGCTGAGGGACAGCGCCTAGGCCCAGCGTTCAGGCCCCATGACTGACAAAAAATTTTTTTAAAAAGCTAGATGTGAAGGTGTGGCTCAAATGATAGATTACCAGCCAGGAGTGAAAAAAAACAAGTGAGAGCATGAGGCCCTATTTTCAGCCCCAGTAATAGCACCAAGAAGAAAAAAAAAGTATTTTGGTTTTACATTTTCAAATCATGGGCTTCTAACTATGAGCAAGGTCATTTTTACAGTGGGTTATTTTCATCAAACTCACCAAATTTTACTCAGATCATTAGATGTGGTTATTATCATTATGGAAGATGGCAAACTTAAATAGTGTATGTCTATGTATGAATATATATACATACATACACACACATATATTTTTCTTTTTTTTACTATTTTCTTTTATTTAATTTTATTTTATTTGTGAACATACTGTACAGAGGGGTTACAATTGCATGGGCAGGATAATGCGTACATTTCTTACCAAGCATTGCAGCCACATATATTTTTCCTGTTTGCCAGTCCTGGGGCTTGAACCCAGAGCCTGGACATTGCCCCTGAGCATCACTGTGCTCAAGGCTAGAGCTCCACCACTTGAGCCACAGCACCACTTCCGTCCTTTTCAGTTTCTGTGGTACTGAGGAATCGAACCCAGGGCTTCATGCATGCTAGGCAAGCACTCTACCACATTCCCAGCCCCACCTTTCTTTCCCCCTATTTCCTTCACTGTTGCTTCAAATCATAGCTATAACTTTTGTAATCCTAGCTACTCAGGAGGTTGAGATCTGAGGATTATGATTCAAAGCCAGTCTGGGAAGGAAAGTCCTCATGAGACTCTAACCACCAGAAAACCAGAAGTGGCACTGTGGCTCAAATTGGTAGAGCACTAGCCTTGAGCAGGAAAGCTCAAGGACAGTGCCCAGACCCTGAGTTCAAGCCTCATGACCTCCTTCCCACCCCTCTCAAACAAAAACCCCAAAAATTTAAAAGCAGAGTGCAGAGAAGGACTCCTCTAGTGTAGCTAAGCCCAAGCCAGGCAATCAGGTATGTTCTGTGAACTGGGAACTTCCTACCTTTGGGGCCAACATTTCCATCTGCACTGGTTTCACAGAGGCCGTAGGTTTCAGATGTTTGTTGACATTGGTTGCTTTGGCGGGTTGAATGGGCACTTTGGTGTTCTGAGCTTTCTAGAAAGAAGAGAGAAACACATGTAGAGCAAGACAGCCAAGCATCATCTTTGATGGCACACAGAACCAGCATCAATTGTCCGCACAATTGATGTTACCTTAGCTGCCTGTGCCCCTCTGGTGGTCACTCGATTCCCAATTTCTTCTAAAACCGTGCGTCTAACAGTCACATGGCTCTTAGCTTTCAGATTAACACCTGTGTCAATATTCTCCAACTCAGTGGACACCTAAAAAAAGGAGAAAAAAAAAACAGAAAAAGAAACCCTGTTAATACAATTTAAAAGACTTGGTTAATGTCAGATATTCCACTTGAGAAATGTGTTGGGCACTGTGAATATGATCAAATTAGTTTGCAAAAGGAATTGAAGGTACATTTATTAGTGACTAACAACATACCTCTAAATTAGGAAAATTATTCATTTACTTTATAATAAAGATCCTTACATTTCAAACCTTTTCTGCCAAAACTATTACGAGTATTCAAGTAGGCCCATAAAAGGATCTCAAAGGATTCCCAAATAAATGACTGTCTCAAGTGGTGCTGTGGCTCAAGTGGTAGAGCGCTCGCCTTGAGCTGAAGAGTACAAGGACAGCACCCAAGCCCAGAGTTCAAGCCCCATGACAAAAAAAAAAAAAAAAGATGACAAATAAATGACTGTCTCATATTACTGTAGATTTCTAAAGTCATCTAGCTAAAAGCTATTATATACAAAGACTGGTAACATGTATATTTAAGATGAAAACCAAAAGGCTGTAACAAGTTATTGAACAGCCTGGTTGTTTAAAATCCCAATGTTTGAAAATCTAAAATAGCTTTGAATATTATATTGTTCTACACATTGGGGGTTTTTGTTTTTTGTTATGGTCGGTTGTGGGGCTTAAACTCTGGGCCTGGACACTGTCCCTCAGCTCTTCAGCTCAAAACTAGCACTCCACCAGTTGAGCCACAGCACCATTTCCAGTTTTCTGGTGGTTTATTGGAGATGCCCAGGCTAGTTTTGAACCACAATCCTCAGATCTCAGCCTTCTGAGTAGCTAGGATTATAGGTGTGGGCTACAGGCACCTAGCTACACATTTTTTTTTTTTTTGTGAAAATACTGTATAGAGGGGTTACAATTACATGGGCAAGATAATGAGTACATTTCTTATCAAGCATTGTAGCCTCCTCCTTTGTTTCCCCT